GAGGGCCGCCCCACCCCCCACCCACCCCCCACACCAGGGCTGCCCTGCAGTACCTGCCGAGAGGTACAGTGGCAGGCAATCGTAGAGGACGTCAGCCGCCTGCATGCGGTAGGCATGGTGGCCGAAGGCGGCAATGCGGTAGTACCTGCGGGGCACCGGGAGGGATGGCAGGGGCTGGGACCTAAATCCCCCAGGGTACGGGCATGGGTACATGTGTCAGGTGCCAACCCAGGCAGAGCCAACCCAGCTCGGACAGACAGGCACATGCAGCAAATGAAAATAATTGTCGAGCTGGCAGGTTGGCTCAGTTGGTTAGAGCGTGATGCTGGTAACACCAAGGTCCAGGGTTTGATCCCTGTACCTGCCAGCCATGAAAAATAATAATAATATTAACTGTTAATGGTACTAGGTGCCATGATGGCTATAATAGAGTGGAGGGACAGAGGAGCTGAAGGTGACCTGCCAGGGAGGTTGGGGGATCCCATCTAGGGAGATGACACATAATCTAAGACCTAGAGAGAAGGAGCTATGGAGGCGGGCTATGGAAGAGTGTCCAGACAGAGGGCATAGCACATGCAAAGGCCCTGAGGCTAGGAAGATGTGGAGGGTTTGAGGAGGTGTGAGGGTGAGCCAGGGGTGAGCAGGTGGAAAACATCAGGGAAGTGGCAGGGTATGCACACATGACAGTGGGTGTTACTCTGAGGGCTGAAGCAGGTTCAAGGAGGTCTGGGGCTGGGGAGGTCTGATTTGGGACGTTAAACCCTCCTGTGGCTGCTGAGGGAAGGTGGGGTGGAGCGTAGGAGTAGCCAGAGGCCAAGGAGGGGCTCCCCTCCAGGCAGAGTGAGGGGGCACACAGAGAAAAGTGGACAAATTGAGGGGACAGGTCTTGCTGATGGGCTGGAGGCGGGGAAGAGGTAGGGTATGAGAGGGGACCCAGAGCATTGGGCATGTGTCCTGAGATGGGCCATGGGGTTCACCGGGTTGGGGTCAGTCTGTAGAAACAGCCTGGGACACTCTTGGGGCTGGAGGTGACACCCGTGGGCCCCTCACCTGCTGTGGACAACGATGGCGGCCTTGGGCAGCCCCGTGGTCCCCGACGTGTAGATGTAAAAGAGCCGATCTGCAGGAGAGGCGGGCATTGGGGACTGGGGCCTGGGCAGGTGGGAACCAGGGGATGGAGTAAGGGCCCCACCCTGGACTCACCGTCCATGCTCTTGCCAGGGGACTCTGCCAGTGGGGCAGTGGACGCCTCCTTCAGCAGTGGGTCCAGGAGGTGCGTGTCTGGCAAGATGCCCTCGGGCCCCAAGTCTCCAGAGCAGAACTTGGGCAGACTCTTCCCCAGCTGCCCGCTCACCTCGGCTACCGCTGCAGTCCAACACATGTCACGGTCATGGCCTGGGATACACAGTCTCCCTGGCCTGGCAGCCCCAGACCATGCCCCCATGGCAATGTTCCGGCATCTCCCCCCGCATGGCAGCCCCAGGTCCCCTCCCGCCTGATGTCCCTGCCTGGCCTCACCTGCCGCCATTTCTCCTCCAAAGATCAAGGCCTTGGCACCCGAGGTGCCCAGGCAGAAGGCCAGGGGCTCGCGCCGCAGGTTCACATTGAGCAGAACAGTCTCCACGCCCGCCTTGGCCAGGCCCAGCCACAGCCCCACAAACTCGGGCCGGCCCTCCAGGAAGATGGCCACCACGTCGCCCGGAGCGAAACCCAGCTGGCAGAAGAGGTTGGCCACAGCATTGGAGTAGGCATCCAGCTGTGCAAAAGTCCAGCACGCGCCACTGCCGGCGTCCACCAGTGCCAGACACTCAGGCTGCCGCTGTGCCACCGCCTGGAAGATGCCCGGAATGGTGTGGCCAGCGCGCTGGTGCCGTCGCAGCTCCAGGCGTACGCGGATCAATACTGACAGGCCACTAGGAGGGAGGATGGAGGCGACAGTATCACTGGCACCCCGCCCGCCCTGGCCTCCCCAAGCCTCAGCCTCCCCATCTGGAGGATCCCAGGGCATCCAGGGGTTTCAGTGAGATTCAAACCCTTGGTCACTGGATCTCTTGGGGGACCAAGAAGAGCAGGGGCCATTTACCAACCAGCCAGGAGGTAGAAAGATTCTCAAAGCTGGCCTGGCCACCATGGCATAAACCAGTCACCCTGTCCTCCTCCACCCCAGCTGACTTGGTAGCCCTAGGGGAGCCGGGGCCCAATCCCACCCTCGTTTCTTTCTCCTGTGACTCCTGAGCACCTGACTCTGACCACCCCCTCCCCCAGCCAGGCCCCCAGGGTCCAGTCCTGAGCCGGGCAGCTGTTCCCGGTCACTCCATGGCACCAGTCACTCCATGGCACCAGGCACAGAGGCTAAAACATCCAGCACATGGCCCCCAATTGGGGAGGAGGGGCTGCCCCTGCCCCAGGTAGTGCCAGGAGATGTGCTAACGGATGGAGTGGAGGGACCATGCCAGGCCCCGGAGGAGGATTGGAAGCTCCCCCTGCCCCACCCGCTAGTGGACAGGAGGGAAGGGGCTGCCCCTGCCCCAGGTAGTGCCAGGAGATGTGCTAACGGATGGAGTGGAGGGACTATGCCAGGCCCCGGAGGAGGATTGGAAGCTCCCCCTGCCCCACCCGCTAGTGGACAGGAGGGCAGAGGCCCCAGGGAACCACAGAGCCCCCAGTGGAAGGAGCAGAGTCTGTGAATGAATGTGTGGATGTGAATAGCCACCACTCTGCCAGGCTGTTAGATGAATGAGAAATGAACTTTTTTTTTTTTTTTTAACCAAACAGGAATCACTTTAGATCAAAGAACCAAGAAATACAGACTTTCGGGCCGGCCCGTGGCTCACTCGGGAGAGTGCGGTGCTGATAACACCAAGGCCACGGGTTCGGATC